ATATCACATTTCTAAAGAGACATATAAACATATGAGTAAATCCTGGGCTAACTGACAATTCTCTGACAGGACAAGTTACACATCGATCTATTCCATCACTTCTCAAATTCAAGTCCACTGAAACCAGAATCTTTGGTTTTGGAAGTAGAATCTTTGGGCCTTGGAGGCCAAAATTGCATTTGGCTTAGACTATTGGGCCTGGGGAACTTGCTTGTCAAGGAAAGTTGTGCAACTAAAATACAGTATCTCCTCTGTTGTTTAACTTCCAAATCAAAAGTAGAAACATTTATAATTCAATGTCATGTCATTCAATTGATCCATGAAATCCTAATTACAGGCTGAAAAGGTTATTGATCAAGCATACAGAATTACTGACAGCTAATACAACCTAAATGTTTGGATTAAAATGAAAAAGTGAAAGATTAAGGGCCTTGTTCCGAGCATATCCTGAATAATGCTCACCCCCACCCCCAAATCTGTATTGATCTACTTTGTGATTTGACATACCCAATGGTCAAGAATAAAAAGTCACATTCTAAATGGCTCTCAAACTGCTAAGATAAACTGTATCAAAATATAATTTAAAAATATTGAAAACATAGTCTTCATAAATTTACACAGTGAAAACTAAAGTTTTATATAACTTATTTATAAGGGAACCAGAAACTTGACAAAGCCAGTTAAACTGCAAGATAGTTTGAATTAAGCAAAGCCTTCTTAGTTATAACACCAAAAGCACAAGCAATAACAATGAAAAAGTCGATAAATTGGACTTGACCAAAATTAAAAACCATCGAGAATGTGAAACAACACACAGAAAGGTAGAAAATGTTTATAAATCATATATTTAATAAGGACTTATATCTAGAGTATATAAAGAACTGTTACAACTCAATAATAAAATGACAGATAACCTAATTAAAACCTGGACAATGGATCTGAATAGAAATTTCTCCAAAGAAAATATAGAAATGACCAATATGCACATGAAAAGATGCTCAACATCATTAGCCATCAGGGAAATGCAAATCAAAACCACAATGAGATACCCTTTCACATCCACTCATATGGCTACGATTTAAAAAAAAAAAAGATTGTGCTCGCTTTGGCAGCACATATACTAAAATTGGAATGATACAGAGAAGATTAGCATGGCCCCTGCGCAAGGATGACACGCAAATTCGTGAAGCGTTCCATATTAAAAAAAAAAAGAAAAAAAGAAAAAGATTGTCAAAAAGACAAGTGTTGGTGAGGATATGGAGAAACCGAGCCCTCAGGTAAAATGATGCGGATGCTTTGGTAAACAGTCTGGCAGCGCCTCAGAAAGTTAGATGTAGAATTAACGTATATGACCTGGCAGTTCCAGTCCTAGGTAACCACGCAAAAGAAACGAAAACATACATTCAAACAAAAACTTGTACATGAATGTTCACAGCAGCATGATTGATAATAGCCATAAAAGGGAAACAACCCAAATGTCCATCCACAGATGAATAGAAAAATAAAAAGCATACAATGGCATAGTACTGGGGAATAAAAAAGAACACAGTACTGACATATGCTACAACATGGATGAATCCTGAACACATGAAAGATGGCAGTCACAAAAAATGGAATCGTATGATCCATTTATATGACATATCCAGGAAAGGTAACTTTATAGAGACAAGACGCAGATCAATGGTTGCCCAGCATTGGGGGACTGGGGTGAAATGGAGAGTGGCTGCTAATAAATACAAGGTTTCTTTATGGTGTGATGAAAATGTCCTATAATTGATTGTGATGACGGTTGCACAACTCCATAAGTATACTAAAAACCATTAAATTGTACGCAGTAAATAGGTAAACTGTATGGTATGCAAATGATATCTCAAAAAACCTGTTATTAAATATGTGTGTTGCATATACATATCAAATAAATACATACATATATAAATATATAAATTGAATTTAGAAAAACAGGGTTTTTCATAGCTATTAAAAACAGAATGAGATTGATAAATTAGATATAAATTTGCTAGAAATCCTGCAAGGCAGTATAGCTATAACATTTTAAGTTTTATTTATATAGAAATTTATATAGAAAATATACTAGAGAAAAAAGAAATAGTCACCCTCACCTCATTTCCTTATATGTTAAATTCTAAGTTGTAAAATATAGTAAATGTAAATTATAAGTCAACCACAGTTGCATTACTCTAGGTTTGTTAGATAACACCCTACATTACAGAGAAGGTCACACAGTCATCTTTTGTCTCAGTCCCACGTCTCAGACCATTTTTCTTAACAAAGGTTTCTCATGAGCATACCACAATGATTTTGTACCTCAGTTTTGTTAAGCAGAAAGAAGTGGGTATTTCACCCTAGCTAAACACATGGAAGTAGATAATCTAAAAGAGAAGGAATTTCAGAACTAAAGTCATAAGAAATAACATGAAGCAAAGGAAAGTTTGACCAAGCTACTCCTAAAAGCTATTCAGACTTTTTAAACTACATGTAATTAATAATTACAATTATTAAAGGGAGAGGAAGCTAATCTGAAAATTCTCACCTAATAACAGAGTAATTTATTATATATACTTTAAAAGAAGATATAGTACTTGCAAGACAGAAGCAAAGATTCTAGAAATGTTGTTCAGAGTTTATAAATCCAGTAAAAGAGATAAAGCACTAATGAGGTAGAGTGACAGCGGAACGATAAATCTATGATTAGTAAAGACAGGCTCACAGATCTAGCCAAACCATCGTTAAATTGCACAACTGATGAGAAAGAAAGAAAAACCAACAGAACTAGGAAACAGACCAAGCTAATCCAATTTAAGAATCATCAGTGTACCAGAGGTCAAACAATTATGCAAACAGAGTAGAAACTTTACTCAGGGAAGGAATTAAAGACAATTTTCTGGATGCTCAAAAGAGTCAATTCTGATGCAGCTATCTTAGAGGAATGCGAAAAGCCATTTATAACAACTGTCACTGAAATGTCTCTGCATATTTGTGAATTTTAAGTATGAAATACAGGAATAAAAAGTTTTTTTCTTAAAAAAAGGAGAGGAAGAATATAAAGGTGTAAGAGATATTCTACTCTATCATTTTACACTGATAGCATAAGTGAACATAGTCACTTAGATGGATTTATAGACAGAAAGTCCTGGATTTGATGTGTATCAGACCCCTCTGAAAAAGTATATACGTGCCTTGGAAGTGAAAGGCAGAACCTGATAAATGACTGTCCTAAGGTCCTAATTTTGCCAGGGGTTCCAGGATAATAATGCAACCTAACCTCCTTGGCAACTTAGATGGTACAAATAGGATGGCAGTGAGTCAGAGACCAAAGGCCCTTGTCCTGACACCAAGGACTTTGGGGCAGGTACTTGTTTACTGATAACAGAAGATGTGAGTGAAATAATTGGTAGGGGGTTTGAGAGTAGTCTGTTCTTGTTCTTGCCCATCTGTCTCTTTTGGCTGTGCATCTTAGCTTTTGGAGGCTGGCAGCTCAGGGAACAGGCTGCACCTAACTATAAAGATAAGAATGAATGCTCAAATTTAGGAGACAAGAAAGCTTGGAGAGAAACCAACCCAAAGCTAAAGGAAATGGAGCCATTAAGCAAAAACAGGATCTGGCAAAGCTGGTTTTGCTCTTAAAAGTAGAAAGTAGCTATTTAAGGAGATACAGAAACTGAACAATTTATCAATGAGCTAAAAATGTCCAAACAAGGAGCCCTGGAGATTTTGAAAGCCAGTGAGAGATACCTAAAAAGGACAAATTGATTGCAACATTAACAAAAAGCTGATTTAGACATGTCAAGCTTAATTAAAGGTTTAATTAAACAACATTTTGAAAAATACAGGCTATAAACAACAATTTATAAGGCTCTAGACTGCCTTGAAGGCATAAGCTAATGCTAGAGGTTGGATACTATATGATTTCTGAAGCCATATTCAAGATTTTTAAAATACAGATATATGTTGTAAGTAATGAAAACAATTGTAACATAATATCTATTATAAAAATGGGTTAATCAGATGGGAAGTTCTCCTTTTTGAGTGAAAAATAGTCTTGAAAGAAATGAAGAAAAGGCTAGGAACTAAAGAAAAATATACAAGGCAAAGAGAAGTAGAAATGTATCAAGTAAAACGTAATGTAAATGAATGAAACAAAGCAAAGATCACTGCCTGGCATAAAAACAAAATCCAACAATCTGTTATCCTTGAGGGATACAAGTAAAACAAAATATAAATGGGCTGTAAGTCAAGGTTTAGTTTAGGATTTATAGGTCTTTGCAAATTTAAGAAAGTGAAAATTATAAAAATGATATTAGATGGTAAGTATAGAAAATTACGAAAATTTAAGGCCAGTATATGTTAATGTTTAAACATTATAGCAACAATATATTGTGAAGAAAATATATTGAAATCGTCAAACATAATTATACATGAAAGCTTTAGCAGTACATCACAACAGATTCAATAGGTAAGGAGTTAAAAACCTTCTCAATGAACCAATCCACTGATCAACATTACTTCTTGATTCAATATATCTAAATCTCTTAAGGACAAATGGTAAAATATAATTAGCTGTATCTTAGTAAAAATCGCTGTTCATTTTTGTTTGCCACTTTCAGCCTCCCCACTGATTTTAATTGTACTAACAGGGATGATGTCCAGTCAACCTCCACACACCTCTCTGTGCATTGTTCTGTGACATTTGCCGTATGGGCCACGCTACAGGTATTTATTACTGATGATAAGTGCTCAATACAATGCTTTTGAATAAACAAATATATACCTGTATGAGAACAACAGCAATAATACTGACAAAACAGAACCAAAAGTTGAAAAGAATTCCGAAGGTATGAATAGTAGTTTCTTATCTCCCCTTACTCTGAATAAAACACAACCCTCTTTTCTTTAAAATACAAAGCCAACCTATCAATTAGGATTACTTAAAAAAATCTAATAAATACCAGATAACGTTTAAACAGCGGATTTCTACTGACCTTGTAAGAATGTAAGGCGAAAACGAAGCTGGATTATCCTGCTCTGAAAAGAGGGGCGTGGAGCCCCCCATTATCCACAGACGGAAGTACAAAACAATAATCACCTTCAGGGAAAAAGAAGATTTGGTAAGAAAATCATTGCTCGTTGCGGGTAAGCCCCACCTTTCTGGAGGATACTTCCAGATGCTTTACAAATATTTCGTTTTGCAAACAATTTTTCTAGGGAGCATTTCTATAAAATTCTAAGATTCAAGATGAGTAGGAAAAATGGAAATAGCTGGGAGGGAGAAGAGTCAAAACCATGAAGGTGATGAGGGAGCAGCAAGCAAATGCTTAAAAACACAGCTGTCATCCATTTTGTTAAAGGCTTTCCAGCTCACCTGAGGCCTCTCAATCCGAGAGGTAAATGAGAAGGCTGATGCTGAGAGGTAATTTGCCCAGAATCCCATACCTAGTAAACTGCAAGAGCCAGGAGTTGAACCCATGTCACTGGTCTCCAACACCCAATTTCTTAACCATTCCACTCACCCAGCCCTATGAAAGCTAATTTAAAATATGATAGATAACACTGCTGTGTCTTGAATGAATACATTCGGGAATGTTCTAACCCTTGAATGCCCTGAAAGCAAAACACTCAAGAAGGATCATTTCAATAACCCCAGAGAACATTTTTTTGTGTCACCCAATGGAATTTTATCACTAACTGATGCTGTCACGTTGCAAAGATACTGGGAAATTCTTTAAAGAAATGCTTTGCCCCTTCTGCTGAAATCGTCTGATCAAGCCTCCCTCCCTCATTCAGTTTTTTCGTACTCATCTTCTTCCATAAACATGTTTTAGTGTTGAGAAAAAAAAAAGTCATATTAATTGTGAACAATACAATTCAAAGATATTTTCATAAGTTTCCTATCAAAACTTATTATAAATTTTGTCAGGGAATTTATGACAAACAGAAACAGCATAAGAGACTGGTCTCCTAATCTCCTTGAATAGAAATATCCAACAACATAAAAAAATGATTAATATGATAGAAGCCAAAGATGGCCACCAAGAATTCCTACCCTTTTTGTATATACATTCTGCTTTTCCTGTCAAGAAATGGAGTCAATTGCCCTGCCCCTTAAATCTAGGTTGGTCTTCTGACTTGCATCAGCCAACAGAAGGAAGTAGAAGGTGCAGTGTGTCAGCTCTGGGCCTAACCTTTCACAGGTCCTGCAACTTTCGGTTCGTTCTTTTAGAACCCAGCTGCCATTATGTAAAGAAGTCCTGCCTATCCTGCTAGAGAGCGCGGCCACAGGGAAGGGCCCTAGAGGATGAGATATCACAGAGAAACTGCCTAGCTCAGCTGACAGCAGCATGAATCTGCTTGGGTAACCCCAGCCCAAAATCATAATGAGCAGAAGATCCATCCAGCCGGATGCTGCCTAAACTAAAGCATTTAGGGCAGATGTACGGTGGTAATGGTTTTAAGGCCTGACGTTTTGGGGTGGCTTGTTATGCAGCGATAGATAACTGAAACAGCCAACTTTGTGCTGCTGAGGCAACTCCACATCAGCACTTGGAAAGGAACTGGTAAAATGCTATAGTTCACACTGTCTGTGTCCCTGAGTTCACATATCACTAGAATGCTTTCACACATACCTTCTAACGCTTTGTAACATTTATGGCATGTTAACTCTTTGATCCTAAGATCAAGCTGTTAAATCTATTGCTGATTCTTTTAAATAATCTGGATCATGACTCTGAGCCAAGTTACAGTGAAACATCCCTTATCAGATATTTCAAAAGAGTGTATGTACTTACATAACTTATGACCAAAATGGCCCTTTTGAAGAATGGCCTCATGGTAAGCAGGAAATTTCTATTACTGCTTGCTGTCAGATACCTGAAATAGGAAAGAAAAAAAAAATCTTATGTGTTCGAGTCCACCGCACATCAACTCCTCCTTTCAGTGTGACTATCGCTGCAGTTCTGAAGAAGGCTGGAAAAGACCGAAGCCAAGAGTGTGGCTTCGGGAGCCAGGCCACCTGGGTTTCAAGCCCCCACCTCTACTGCTTACTGTCTGAAAGACTGTGGAGCAAGTTTCTTAACATTTTTATGCATCTGTTTTTCTCACATGACAGTATCTACTTCACAGAAAAGTTGTAAGGAGTAAATGAGATAATCCATGGAAAGGACTAGCACTATGAACTGTAAACACTACTATCCCATCGAATCCCAAATCATCCAGGCATTCTGGCCACTACATGGTTACACTGGTCACAGGGATGACCTTGAACAAAACAGGAGTTTATTTATCTACTTAATTTGAGAGGCACAGTATGTCCCTCCCACAAAACATCTCACCAATGTCTTACCCATAAAAATAGAGGACGCCAGGGCTGTGTGAAGTTAAATAATGTATCCAAGGTAACAAAGTTGGTAGGCACCAGTGGTGGGATCAGAGCTCACACATAAACAGTGGACAGTTTGCTCACCTGCCTGTGGCCTTTGGAACCAAACTAGGTTTATAAGAATGTCAACTTCTAGTGGGGCAGGAACTTGTGTGGAACCCTGTATGTGCCACAGAGCACTCACTTGTACGAAGTGGGAGCAACATGTATCTACATATAAGACATACGATTGGCTGGCTTTACAAGCAACAATGAAAGGGAAGCAAGAAGCGGCTATTAACAACCCCCAGCAAAAACCTAAACAAAGCATTTTCATCAACATGCAGGTTTCTCTATTTTAAAATACAGAATGGAGGGGGAAAAGTCAAATTGAATCATGTAATCCAGCAAGCATGTCCCACCTCATCTTTATTTCCCCTACCCATTTTTTTCTTTTACTCTTTTTAATCCAATTTCTCCTCAAAGGATTTCTCCCCAGAATCTCTTAAAATTTGCATTTGAATGGAGTCTCCTTACACAATGGGAATAGTCTATAGAACAGAGATCCTTTGGAAGGACTTGAATGGGTAAGTATCACAAAGACATGTCCACCTTGATAACTGCTTACAAAATATATGTGGTTCTTCTGTTTTGTTAACAGTTACATATGTCCAAATGGCACTGTAAGGAGGTGACGGTGTCACTCCAAGGCTGGTCTTTTCCTTCTTGCTTCTTTTTTCCTCTTTCTGGTTCATAAACAGCTGAAGGTCTGACCTTTGAAGTAGTTAATGAGTGGAGAAAAAGGGGTGAGTCCTAAAAAACACTACAGAGAGCCAGCGTTTCGCAAGCTCTGGACTGGATCTATCCCCAAGCACTACATTTAAATTCTTTTTCCTCCCTTAGCTCTCAAAAGAGAGCTTGGCAAGGAGGAAGGCCAAAGATACCATCAACTCTCACCATGCAGGTGCATCGCTAATGTTCCAAGATAGGCTTAAGGGAGTCCAGCACATCCTGAAACTGGACGCAAGATTTTACGTGTTTCCATCTGTGTATTTCTCTGAGGCAAAGTCCTTGGCTGTGCTCTTCAGTGTTAACCGAGTCTGTGATTCCAAACGGAATAAAGCTCTGCTAAGCATGTTCTCTCTGCTCTGCCTTTACTCGGACTATCCTTGTTAGAATAACTTAACAAAGACCAACCCTGGATATTTCTGCTATTCCTTGATGTAAGTAAGATAAATAGCTGCAGGAAGGGGATGACAATGTGGGAAGGAAAGGTGCTGGGGTGGGCTGGAGTGGAAATACATCTGAATAAAAACGTGCTTCTTGGGTTGGTCTGCTTTCGGAAGCTTGATTTCTCAGGTTACCTCTGTGGCTGGTTTATTTTAAGACAGTATAAAAGTTAGAAGTGGTTTCCTTTCGATGAAACAACCATAGTGTTTATGGTTTTTTTTCAATGTTAAACTTTGGGAAGTTCCTGTTTTCGTTTCACTGCAAGCTCACTAGAATGGTTATTTCAGTGAGTTATATTTATAAAGTGTCACTTTATTTAGAAATTCTTTCTCCATGAGAAATTCCATTTCTTCAAGAAGTTAAGCTCCTTTAGGCGCTGAATAATTTACTCTTAAAATGTAGCATCTGAAAGCAAAGGAAACCTAGAATGACAGACAGCAGAGGTTGAAAAAAATAGCCCCTTTTCAAGACTTCTATTTTCAGTCATTTACCCATAATAAATCAAAGTATTTGCCAAAATGACATGGCCCCCTTTTATGGTAAACACGAGGTCAGAGCTCCCTAAGTTCACACGGGGAGCCCTCCAAGGGCTGAAATCTCTGTGTCCTTTCCTTTTCCCTCACTCACAACAAAACTGGACAATAGAATTTTCCCCATTAATCCATGATATGTGTATGCTCTGTAAGCAGAGCCAAAGAGAAATAACAAATAAGATTATTAACAATAATAATAAAAATAGGAACAATATGTGCATGATGCAAATCTAAGTGATTACATTTTAGTAATTCATTTACCGCTTACAACAATTCTGTGAGGAAGAACATTATAATTCCTTTTTTAAAGAGGAGGAGACCAAAAAACCAGAAGTAATACTTAATTTACTACATAAGATTTTCTCAGCTATTCATTATAATCACAAGCTAAAGTATCTGAAAGTGCCTTACAAGGCTCTATGCAAATGTCATCACAAATCATTTTCAATGTCAGTCAAAGTCTCCATTGTTTTTCCTGCAAAGCCAGAGAAAATCCCAACATCAAAAGCAAACATCTGGGCGGCCAAGTGACGTGATGGTTAAGAACTGGCTTGGGACGCCAGAGGGCCCCGGTTCGGATCCCACATATGAGGGCCAGTGGCACTGCCCTCCACAGCTAAGATGCTGAGCAGCAACTCAACCTGGAGTTGGGCTGCTGTGAGTCGCCGGCGACGGCGTAGGCTGCAGCCCCTGTGGCAGTGGGTTGCCATGGGCTACCGTATGTAGCCAACAGCCAGCGTGAGCAGCCAGCAGCCACAGTGAGCGGCTGTTCAGAAGCCAGCGACTGATGTGCCTTGCCCGGGAAGAGCGCAATGATGGTGCCAACTTGGGCCAGTGAAGCAACGTCCTCCACAACTAGACTGAAGAACAAAAAATGACAGCAACTTGTCTGTTCCCCTTCCCCCAATTCCCAGCACTGTTCCCATCCCCACAGTTTCCCAATAAAAATCTTAAAAAAAAAAAGCAAACATCTGAGGAAACCACTAGAATGGGTACTAAGAGTCCAGGGTTCTATTACTGTACTTCCAACTCATTTGTTACGTGACTTGGAACAAGTCTACAGGAGGTTTTTGTTTTTTTTTCCCTTTATCAATGAGAGTTGGGCTAAATGGCTTTACAGTTCCTTTCAGGTCTAAACTGATCTTTGGATGTCTCACCAACTAATGACATCATAAATGACAATTAAAGAAATGCAGAGAGAAGCCTACTGAACCTTTATAAAAGAAATGCCAACGGATTAGGAGCAAGCAAATATTAGTTGATCCCCCACTTGAGTAATCTGCAGTTGCACATGAAAAAATAGAGATTTTATTTATTTTATTTTTTAAATTTATTTTTTGAGGTAATATTGGCTTATAACATTATATAAGTTTCCGGTGTGCAACATTATAAATCAGCATCTGTATGTACTACATTACGCTCACCACCAAAAGCCTAGTTTCCGTCTGTCAGTCACCACACAATTGAGCCGCTTTACCTGTTTGGCTTTCCCGTCGCCCCCTTCCCCCACTGGTAACCACGAATCTGTTGTCTGCCTCGATAAGTTTGTTTTGTTTTGTTTGTTTATTTGTCTTGTTTTTATATTCCACATATGAGTGAGATCATAAGGCATTTGTCTTTTTCCATCTGACTTACTTCACTTAGCATAATAACCTCAAGGTCCATCCCTGTTATTGTAATATAAAAAAATAGTTTAACATTAGTTTGGGGTGTTAAGAAACAGTCAACAGGCCCAAATTTGAGTCACTTGTGTTAAGCCCACATGATCAAACCAAGACATAATACTACCAAACTTAATTACAGTTTCCACCTCTCTTAGGAGTGGAAGTTCTTAATCAATCCAGCTGGAATTCCCTGGTCAGCACAAGTGAGGTAAATGGCCTGATAGGTCCCTGCAGTCCCCTGAAGGAAGGTGACTTGACACAAGCAATCCACTCTTTGCTAGTGATTTCCTTGTCCTGCCCACTTCTGCCTCTAAAATTTCTTCCGTTTGTACAGCTCCTAGGAGCTCATTTCTGTTGCTAGATGGAAGCTGCCTGATTTCATGAATCATTGTATAAAGGCAACAAGATTTTAAAATTTACTCAGTTGAATTTTTTGTTTTAAATAGAGGTATTGGCCTTATCATAATCTGCATTGTTAACAATTTCAGGTGTTAGGCAAATAAAAGCAAAAGGTCAAGATTGTCCAAAGTTGGGGGGAGGGGGGTTGTTACCTGGTGAGGGTGAAAAGGGTAACTATTGTATTGTTCTGTACACCTGAAACTAACAATAAAAAATAATAAAATAAAATTAAAAAATTAAAAAAAAAAAGATTGTCCAAAGTAAGCCCCCCTAACCTGTGCTCCCTTGCACATCAAATTTGCTATTTTTCTGACCTCAAATTTTCCATTAACATCCGCCTTCTCAGCGGATCATGTTTAAATAGAGCAAAATGTAACTTCTTCCTAAAGTTCACCCTCCATAGCTACTCAGGCCTCAAATCCCACTGAGAAGTGTCACTTGAGACCAGGACAAGCCCCCCTGAATCACCCACCCATAATCCTGAGGGCTAAATAAATGCTTATTATTTTAAGTCACTGAACTTTGTTAACACAGAATTATTGTGTCCATAGATAATTGATACATATAATGAGATGATCAGTAAATGCTTATGGACCCAAACAGAATTTAAAAAATATTTATCTTTCTCCAATCAACACTCCCCATCCCCTTTTTTTTCTATGTTTTCCTTCCTCTCCAGTGTTAGAC